TTTCCTTATTTTAGGTTAGAATGGGATCATTTACTGATAAAAATCGATGAAAAGAAATTGCGAGTGAGGAAATTTGAGGGAGAACGAGAAAGTGATGATGGGATTTGTCATTCCATTAGTTTTTCCTTTGAATTATTATATAATTGCTTACTCCTGAAACACTATACTCTCTTTCTGTGGAAGAATTAAAAGAATAAAAGTTGAAATCTTGAATATATTTAAGATGAATACATTATACTCCAAAGAATGTTTTCTATTCAAATGTTAGCATACGATTCTCACAATATCTTTTTTCTGTTCTACTAAGCTGGTTTCAAACAGTAAACAACAAAAGAAAGAAAATTGGATTCTGTACGGAAATTCGGACGGTTGTGTGGAATGACTTCGCCTGCCAGCTACCTTAAAAAATAAGGAAAAATAAAGAAAGCAAGTACCGCAGAAATTTCATGAGCCACCACGTCTTGGACTAAACAACACCAGCTGCATCAAGAACTTAACCATCTCCGAGTTATTTATTTATTTTTTTCCCCAAAGAAAGTAAATTGAAAACCTTTCTTTTATCAAGTATATTAAAAGGGACATTTCAAGTGTAAATGAACTTGACTTCTTGTGATGCTCTTTCAGTAGGCATTATTTTTTTGTTCCTTTTTGGCAGCCACTTTTTGTCCGTAGGATTTTTAGTAGTAACTTCTGCTGTCCATTGCAGGTCACGAACTGCTGTGGCTCCATTGGAACGATTAAAAATTTTGCTACAGGTTACAATACATACTTTTCCTTGATGGATACTGCATAGAGTACTGAGAATCAAGATCCATTTGTTGAGTTGTTTTTCCAGTAGACTCTGAATCATGTAAAGCAAATTCAGTATCAATTTTGTTAGGGTCTCTTTCTTTTAAATCCTTTTCCTTTTTGTAAATGCCGTTGTTATTTCTTTCAGTAATGTTGTTCAAGGCAATAATTTTGAACTGCTATTTTTGTGTTCTCCTTGCATCATGATGCTTTTCCAATGTGCAGGTCCAAAATCCGCATAATATAAAATACAATGGTACTGTTCAAGGCCTAAAGTATATTTGGAGAACTGAAGGCTTTAGAGGCTTATTTAAAGGCAATGGCACCAATTGTGCTCGAATTGTCCCAAATTCAGCAGTCAAGTTCTTCAGCTATGAGCAAGCCTCCAAGTATGTCTCTATGTAAAAAATTATAGAATTTGCTCAAGTTTGTGAGTGTTGGTTGTTTTAGTTTTCAGTTTGAATTTTTCGTATAGATGGGCCTCCACCAAACAAATACTTGTATAATCTGCATTTCTTTTGTTTACGTATCTCTGCATAGGAATGAAACTTATTTTCCCATTTCCTTTTTGCCATTTCTAAGGGAGGAGAAAACTTGCTCATGCTTATTACTATCACATAGTATAGGAATAAAATACTTTTTTGGACGGAAGAATTTGGCAAGATAAAGAAATACCAAAAAATAACAGAGGACCAAATTTTTAGGTAAATATAAAAGCATGTATAAGAAAATCGCAGGTTTATTATTGACATCTCTCGTCTTAATTAAAAACTGCTAGATTATGTTGTTTGGCAAAAGACGTGTTTCCTTTGAATGGAATTAGCCATGAAATTGAGATGAGTTTTGTGGGAAAAGGTAGATTCTTAGAAGGCAATTTGCTTTGTAAAGTTATGGAGCTCCAAATGTATTTGATAGGAGATTAAATGGATACATGCCAAATATACGCACTCGTTTTAGATGTAAAAGTTGGAACAAAATTCTGATTATTTTCTTACATGATTGTTAGTTTCAGGTTTGGAATTTTCCATTTTGTTATTTTCATGTATTCAGTGATATTAAAATTCCTCTTGAAAATTTTCTCCCGATTCGCCTCTCATTTTCTCTCTTTCCCATTCTACATCATTTGATATGAGAGCCTACTGTTGTTGACCTTCAAATTAAAAAAAAAAAAAAAAAAGACTCTTGAACACTGAACTCGCTAAAGGTTATATTGTCATTACAAATATTATCCTCTGTTTGGATACAAATTTATAAATGGTTTACAAATTAAGTCAAAGTTAAATATTAATTTTGACTACACATTTATAACTACTGCTCATTATCATTCACACCTTTTGTGAGGCCCGCTACTATTCCTCTTTATATACCATTTATGAATTTGCCAAATGGAGGAGTATAATTATCAATTTCACATTCAAGTAAATCATGACAGGCGAAAATATTTTACTTGTGAGATTTAAACATTGGCTTTTTTATTATTAATGTTGATTCTTTGGTGAATGATCTCCTAGTGGGACAATTGTAAATATGTATTTTTTTTGTTTGTTTAACCAAGCTGGCGTGATATAATATATTGCACATGCCATTATAGTGTTTGTATAGACAAATTATAGTTAGCTTTGAGTACATTTTGGTATTTACTTATCACAAAACGAGTAAATTATTTTCTTTTGATGCATTTCTTCTCTGACTAGGTCATTTTATGTTGCGACAGGGGTATATTATATCTGTACCAGCAGCAAACTGGCAATGGTAAGTCTTTACTAGTGTATGTACACTATAAAATTTGCACCGCTATTAATTTGTCTTAGCAAAGATTACTTTCTGTATATTTTGAGTGTCTGTGGGACAAACTGTTTATTCAATTTTTCTTGCTCTGATTGCCAAATCATTCACCCCAATTTATGATCAATGATTCTGCGCTTTCCATGTATCATGTTCATACACTGATCTAAGTTGAAAGCAAAGTCATGAAAATCATTGGAAAATGTACTTACTGTATGGGAACTTGTAGACAATCAATAGCAGTACATGCATTAATTTTATGTCATTCTCTTGCATGGCTAAATGCATGGAATACTGATATCAGCATTTTTGGGTCAAGCCCATTGGTTACCAATTTCATATTCAGTGTTTTCTTGGTGCAAAGATGGATCGTTAATTGGGCTTTTCCCCTCTTTATCTTATATGTTACTTCTACTATCTGATGTTTTTAATCCATAAGGACCACT